TTTATTTAAATCTCATGATGGGTGCTTATATTCAACCTTAGCTTAGGGAGTTATGCAAGAACATGAACTTTCACTGGGTAAGTAGTGTAAAATGTCATAGTTGTGGGAAAACCAGAGGAAGAAGAAGAAAAAGAAGAAACAACCAAAAAACCCACCATCAAAATTTCTAAAGATTTAATCAAAAAGAAAGTCTAAAACTCAAGCCCAAATGTTTAATAATCAACTCACAATTATCCAGAGTACTATAGGGGTGGGTTTGCTTCAATAAAGCAAAACCATAAGTAAACTACTAAAAGGACACATTTAGTACATTCACTTTTGAAGTAATTCACTTACTTTCACTTGTAAATAGCTACCTATAGAACGATGGAACAGCATTAAATTGCAGTGAGCAGAGCAGGCCTGGTAAAGAAATATTTATTTTGTGTCATGTATTCTGCAGCAATGGGCTGCAGCCAATGGTGTGGGCAGCAGATGGGCTCCAGTTGAGCCACAACTCAGGTAATCTATTCACAGATAATTCAAATTTGACTGCTTTATAAATCTCAGGAATTTTAATACAGTCTCACAACTGTTGAGTTATGGAGTTGAAAATATTACAAACTGTCAAAAAATACAAGCTACTCTCCAAAAACCTTTGCCCAATTAAATTCCCTTGGCTGTAACATAGAAAAATGGCAACCCTTGTAAAAACCTTTTTACTGAATGTCTCCACCTATGTTTTTTCCCTCCAGCTACAAGCATATGAAAAAAGAAGTTGAGAAATGAAGAAGTTGTGAAATTTCATAATTAGGTTAATGACAATAATAAAAGAAACCCTTGAAAAAATGAGGACAAAAAATTCTTTTATTGGAAAGATGTTTTCTTCCTCAGATGAATTATAGATCAACTCTGTGGAAAACACTGTTTGATAATTATTCTAAGGCTCCTATGATTAAGAAAACAGTACACAGCTTGTTCCATTTTAAAGCATCCCCACCCTTGCTTAAGCAGAAATGCAGTTACAATAATTTTATGGTACATAAAATGAAAACAGTTGGCCTACCAAGTAACAGTGAAGCAACATACACAGTTTTATAAATGTACAATATCATTTAGAACCCTGCTGTTTCATTTGAATTATGTTGAATCTTTTTTATTGTTTCTTCATCTAACCTAATTTGCCTAAACCCCTTATTTAATATTCTTCCTACTGTTTTGTTTATTTCTCACTGAAAGGGCGTAATAGCAACAGAAATGATAATATAATATAATATAAATGAAGGCTAGAACTGCTGGTATATCCTCTTAGAAGTGTGAACATTCTTCTATCTCTTTCAATTTCAGTGTTTCAATACTTCTCTTTGTTAGAGGAGAATTTAATAAGACAAATAATCAGTCATGAAGAATGAAGTAGAACTGTGCTAGTGACTGCTGAGCCCAAATGATGCATTGTACAAGGAAGAAGACAATACAGTAATGCTTTGTAATAGAGGACACCAAAATAACAAGCAGCACACAACACAAGTTCCAAAGTATTATAATGAACTCTGGGACTAAAGATCTTGGGTTTTGATAAGGTTGTTTTTCATTGCTCTAGCAGCACACGTATGCCTAAAAGAGTGTTTAAATGGCCAGGAGAAAAGCCTTAAAAAGAAAAGGATGCCAAGTGGCACAGAGCTAACGTAGCTGGTTCATTCAAAGTGGACATTAGCAATTCCTGTGTGTAGAATAAGATATTCCAAACAGCCTTAAGCTCTCCTAAATTACACCAGTTTCAAAAATCTTGGGAATGTCTGAAATTTACCTCAGTTAACTCCCCTATTTTCAAATGCAGAGTCACACTGGGTCATCGGTGCAATTCAGGAGACAAACACATTTGTTAATACTCATGGTAAAATAATATTAAGAAGTTAGAAGTTCTTAAAGAGCTGGAAAGACAATAAAGCTTGGTTTACTATCTATGTTTTGAAAATGAGAAAGCACATTGAACCTTCTTCCTGAATGGAGCTATTAAATCTATTACAGAGGAAACAAAGTCAAGTTTATAAGAATACTACCATTTAGAATGTCCATGGGTAAAAGCTGTGGAAATTTCACTTTATTGCCACTGTTCCGCCTACCACAAGGGAGTACTTGTCATATTGATTAAATTGGACATGGACAGTAGAAAAATACATAACATTTATCAAAGCCCACAAGTGCAAGAAAACAAAACCAGAAGTTCCATTTGTTATTGTATGGTCTAGAAAACTATGATGGGATGTGCCTTAAATGCAACAGGAAAATAGTACTGCCAGGGCTTGTGTCATTTTTTGAAAAACTGCAGTACTTAATTTTTAGTGCCACTGTTCCGCCTACCACAAGGGAGTACTTGTCATATTGATTAAATTGGACATGGACAGTAGAAAAATACATAACATTTATCAAAGCCCACAAGTGCAAGAAAACAAAACCAGAAGTTCCATTTGTTATTGTATGGTCTAGAAAACTATGATGGGATGTGCCTTAAATGCAACAGGAAAATAGTACTGCCAGGGCTTGTGTCATTTTTTGAAAAACTGCAGTACTTAATTTTTAGTTTCCAGAAACACCAACTTAAACCCAGAGAGAGAGCTCATTCTCTTGGAAGCCACAGATACAAGTTAGGAACTTGGCTCCTATCTCCTGACCTGGGCCAGACATCATTAATTCTAGCATTCCAGCCATATTCATGGTTTTATGCTTTAATGTTTAGAACTCAAGAAGTGTCACATATATTACCTCCCAAATTGAAAATGGTTGCAAGCAAAGTGAATTTCATTCCTTTCTAGCAATCTGGCTGTAAACAGATTCTTTGGCACCTGTGAGCAATCTGGCTTTTTTTGCCTATTTGGTACCTTAGTGAGATATCTTGCTGCAAGATTTGGGGAGCAATAGCCATGCCATCTTACGAACTACAAATTCATGCACTACATGCCTTGTTTGTTTGTAGTAAAATATTTTTATTAATACAGTTATGACAAATTTTCTGGGGAAAGGCTTTCTCTTTGTCCTTTTTGAGCAAAGACTATTCATTTGTTTGCCAATTTTTAAGTGGATTTTCAATATTTTCCAAAAGACAATTCAATTAAATTTATTTTTTAAAATAATAAAAAAATATTAAGGATGCTCATAATTCTCACAATATCCATAAAATTATATACTGCTGCTTTGAAAGAACCATATTAATTCAACTTAATATAAACTAACTAAGAGATCCTTCTTTCTAAAGGCTTTATTCAAAGACCATCCTAATTCTAATTTGCCTTAAAATTAATGTGGTGGTTCTCCATCATAGTTTGTAATTATGTAAGAAACCTAGTACTCTCCGAAAACACAGTGTCTTACTCTATCAGTGATCCTTAGATTATTTTCTGTATCATAACTGCTATGCTACTTTTTCAAAAGTAATTTCAAAATCCTTCAACAGTTGTAAAAGATTAGTAGCACCCACCATAAGATTTTCTCTCTCTCCTGAGGTGCTTGACATTTCCACTGCTTTCTCAAGTCTGGTGAATTAGACTAGTGAATTAGGAGGTGGAGCTCTCTCTCTAATAATTTTGTAAGTATTGGAAATCACAAAAGTAAACAAAAAGCACTTGGGAATATAATTGCATACATTCAAAACAGCAAAAAAAATCCAACCATGTTTTCCACATTGCAACTGATAATGCTGCTGTTCAGATATCATTCATGCTGCCAAAACTTTTGGTGGAAGAAGTAGGTTGCAAGCACCTCTACCTCTGAATTGTCATGACAATGTTTGAGCTCAATTTTTTTAATTAAAAAAAATATAACAATATGAGGTTGTCAGCAAATATATCCAGAAGACTTAAGAGGTTTTGTGGAATCAGTCTGTATGGAATGTAAGCGAATAATGAAAAACAGTACAACATGTATATCCCCCAATGGTGACTAGTATGTCAGATAGGAAAAAAGCATTAGCTCAGCCACTCTGTATCTATAATGCATTTATTTTTCTGGAACCTTTATGAAAACTAAACATACAGCTTTGGTTATTGCTACTTAACCAGCTCAATGAAATAAAGGAAGAGGGACCAACAGATGAACATTTTAGGTTTTGAAGCCTTCAGGATAAAATTACTTGATTTACAGCTACACCTAATATAGCTGAGTAACATAAACACTAATATCCTGTTTCTTACTCTGAACAGCAAATACTGTACTGCTTAAATCTACTTCATCTTGAACTAATGTTACTTTATAAAAAGAAGATAAAAGCTTGTCAAATATTCTTAAGAATACTCTGAAAACAGTAAATGCCAGTCCTTTATTACACACTCTGGAACAAAGTCAAAATTCTGCTAGTGCAGAGCACAACTGGAAGTTTCATAAGTGAGTTTCACCAAAGGTATCATACACTAAGATTCCAGGCCTATGTGTCATGCCCTGAAACATCTGCAACAGAGCATAACATTCTTAATAAATGAGATAAATAAAAGTGTTCATTTGATGAAATAATTCTGAAAATATATCTATTCATCCACACAGATGAAAAGCTGTTTATGATTTTGCTTGGTGGGAAAGGAAATTTATAAGAGAGATTTTTAAGTTCTGTTGAAACACACCTGAGTATTTCTATGAGAAAATAACACATGAATTTAACTGTTTGAAAATATATATGCCACAGAGATTTTGATAAAAAGGTGTGCAATCGTTTGTATCTTCTTACATACATCAGCAATAAAGAGAAAGCATTCTATTTTATCATATTTAATAACACACTGTAAAAAGCCACATGTACTTGAAAGTTATGCAATATATTTCCATGTTTTAGTGGTAGGGTAGATAAATTCTTAGAAAATGTAGGTTTGCATTCTTATGTGAAATTAATGCTAATTATATTACCACTTATACCACATTCTCATCCCACTCTTGCAAATTGCTACAAACAATTAAGAGCAAAAATCCATTTGAGTTAACAAAATGACAAGTTTTCTGCTACTTCAGACTATTTTTAGATGTGGTATGTTCTTAGCCTGAGCTGGTTTTCATCTGTTCCTGTAATTCACAAGTCCTCAAAATAACTCCGTAACTCTTTCTCTTCCTCCTTTTTTTTGTTTTTGTTTTTGTTTTTGTTCTGTGTTTTTCTGTTTAGTTTTGTTTGTTGTTTGGGTTTTTTTGTTGCTGTTGGTTGGGTTTGTTCTGGTTTGGTTTTTTGGGGGATTTGTTTGTTCATTTTTTGGTTGGTTGGTCGGTTTTTGGGGTTTTTTTTACACTGTTTAATCAGGATGGGAATCTGAACTGTGAGTTTATCCAAACCAATCTGCTTTTAGTGCTTGGCTTCTTTCCTGTGCCAAACCACTTCTGGTGTTTCTAGCAAGGCAATGACAGCATACCTTCTTGTTATTATTTATGCATGGAAGGCCAAACCAAATGCTTGGGAGGATCGGTGAAGACATGAAGTAGGTAGTTTTTTCCATCCACAAGATCCCATTTACATTTAAATGAACTTGCTCTTTGTGAAAGATTGGCTCCAGCAGAGAATACCACATGACCACAGACACTGAAATTAAATCACAATCACAAGGATAGAAGCCACCAACATACTGCTAAAAACAACCTTCAACATATATCTGCATTGCCTTATATATGTCAGTAATAAAGATAAAATGTTCCATTTTATTTTATAAGATGCATCTCACTATATTTTCATAATACATGTGTATAATAAGATACTGCCGCTCAAAGCAAGAGTCAAACAAGTAACACAAAATGCTGCCTCTGCCATGACTGGATTTCTCACAAGGGTTAGGAAAAGTGTCATGTGCAGCTCCAGGCTTTAAATGGATGATTTCTCCTGGCTGATGCTGGAGTGGCACTGACTTGACAAATGTGAGAAAGTCCTCAGCTGTGAGATGGGGGCTTAGGTTGTGGGCTCTTGGTCAATTGAAAGGTTGCATTAAATGTAAATTATAGGACTGTTACTTAGATATATACCCTTCTCAAACAGGTGAAAGGCAAACAGTGCCCTGCACTAATTCACTGATGAACTGGTGATAGGCTTGCTGAATAAGGCAAGCAGGCAGGAAGCAGGCAATTATAATCCTCATCTTTGAAGGAAGGAAGGAAAGGCATTTTTATATAAAACGATATTAAATTTCCTTTTTTTAAGTGCCTCTATGTATTTCTCTTTTCAATTTATATGGAAAAGTATTAGGCAAAAATCTATGGCAGAACTGGCAGTAAATATCACAGTAACAATTGCTCTTTTATTAAATATTTATTGAAATAAATTCCTGTGCTTTCTCATTTTTCTTTTTCTGCTTCCAATATTTATTTACAGCTGATTATTAACATCTGCCAGTGTAACAGTTTCATCTGTACAGAAGCCGAAGGGTAAAATGTCACACACCCCCTCTAACATGACCTGTAGTTAGACAGAAAACAGTTTTCCCAGTCACCGCTTGGCTTCCTGTCTGTGACCTCTGAAAAGCATTGGAGGCCAGGGTTAATGGCCTTTCCAATCTCTGTGATAAGAATTCATTTTGTTCTATTACCAGCAGTTATCTCAGGAGCCTGCTGCATCACTTCAGCAGGGTTCAATCAATGAGAGGACCTAATGAAGTAACCAGCTGTAGCTCTATTTCCCTGGTCAACTCTATCAGACAAATAAGATCTATCAGTCACATCTCAAAGCCACTCCTAGAAACAACATCCTCACACACTGCACCCATATCCCATATGTATATGGACTAATGATACCTGGCCATTTCTTTTTAGCACTCCTTTTTAATATGGCTTTTCTAACAGAAAAGGAAACAAAATGGGTTTGAAATGTAGCATTAAGAGGCCAGTAATGTTGGGGTTAAGAAATAGTAGATTTTCAACAGTAGGAAGCATTCATATTAATAGTAAAACCTGAGTAAATTATAGTGCAAGACAGATGATTTTTTTTCTCCAAACAACGCCTTTTCTCCTTAGGTGGTACTCTTGAAAAGAAAAACAATACTTTGTTTATTATTTTCTACCTTAAATTACTATGTGTCATAAACTGATTCAATTATGGGTGTTAATTTTTAATTTGTCACTTAGAAAGGAAATATAATTACAGTAACACGTCAGTCAAATGTCAGTCAAAATATCGCAAATTTTGTTTTATATTTAAGCTGCATCACTGAAAGTAATTATGTTACTTTTGACAGTATTGTATCTATGCCATTCTGTGATTTTTTTATAACTAACTTTATCCTTTCATGCTTCAGAAAGGGCTTAATTACTTAAAAGTATAAATCTTTAAAAGGCACTGGATTTGAAAATTGAAAAATAAGGAAAACCATAACAAAGAACAACTTCAGGACTTCATAACTATGCACATCAAAGAATGACTTCATAATTAATCAGAGGGTACAGGACAAAAATGCAAACTGCTCATACCAAAATGTCCAGTCTGACTTCATCCCTAGGTATGACAAACTCGGTTGTAGCAAGCCACTCTGGGCAAGTTACTGAAACTGCTGCGGGAAGGCATGATAGAAGAGTGTCGTATTTGCTGAAATGTTGAAAGCCACATGTAGCTAAGTTTATTTTATTAGGTTAATCTCAAGGAATCTCATGAAATGAAATTTGTATCCTTTTAACTTGGCTGTGTGCTCTGTCAAATAGAAATGAAAGAAAGTCTGGCTATGTGCTGCTATGGAGAAAGAGATGATATCCAAGAAATAAGGCTAAAAATTATAACTATGCAACATGAACACACACTGCACACAGAAATGTCTATATAATTAAAAGCCAAGTATCATTTTGCATATAGTAACACATCTGATGGATTGTGACACACAAATTCCAGAGGACATGTGCTTCAAATAAGCACTTATATCTCTTTTCCCTGTGAGCAAAACAAGGGCATTCTTCTTTTGCAGTCTGCCTCCATTAATAAAACAATAGGAATATTACTTATACAGTCAAAGGAAATCCAAGAAATCTTCCTTTTTTTATCTTAAACCACCTTAATGAAAAACAAGGGGAAGAATGTGTAGTTTTGTGTTTAAGGAAAGCACAAATCTGCCATAGATACCTTGGTACATTTAAAATTTACTGAAATATCTACGCTACATATGCAAACTGATAAGATTATGCCTAGCAGGCATTTTGGGAACATCTGTCAATTTTTTATGGAACGCACTGATTGTGGGCTATTGATTGCATTTAAACAAAGTTGTTTCAAAAAAAAAAAAATCAGCTAACAATTCGTGTAGAAAGGATTGATCAATATTTAAATGACTCTCTTTATTGATTTAAAATTAACTTTCAATTAAGAGATCCATAGGACTCTTAACTGCGACACTTATCCATTCAAGAGAAAATAAAGGTACATTTATCGATACACTTAAACAGCAGTGGCTGGTTTCCTATTGATTCAGTCATTTGCGCTGGGATTCGTTAGCGTCATCTGACTTTAACTCACTTACTAGGTCTACACAGTGTGTAACACTGCAAGATGTAACACTGCAGGAATGTACAAAACAATAGAGGGGAAGTGAACAGAATTAGAAGATCTATGCAGAGGTAAGTCACACTTATGCTTTTTACATCTCCTGATGGAGGAAGAGCCCATTTATAAACTGCCTTGTTTCTGGTTTTAGTCAGGAGCAAATTCCTGCCAACTGACCTGTTTTCTATATATCTGTAAATAAATTAATGAAAACTCTAATATTGATAGGTAACAGTTCTATTTGCTCCTATCAATTCTGGCAAGATGCCCTATTTGTGTGTATTGATTAACTTATAATCAATAAGAACTTAAGCTCATTGTTACCTGAATGTTTTTGAGTGGCAATATTGTGATGCCCTGCATATGTGCATCTCTCTCTTTATATATATATACACACATATGATGTTTAAGAACATTATAATTTAATATTTTAATTTAGAGAATCAGTCATCATTTGGATTTTGAAAGATTTACTGAGATGTTTGAAAGTAAACATTAAGTGTGTATCTCTGTTTTAGAGAAAAACCTCAAATATATTTATACTAACCAATAATATACTAGAATAGTATAGCTATAACTACAAACATGCAAAAGCATCATCACATTTAGGAACACAAATTAAAACCAGGACTGCAATTACATACTTCATTATTTATGTGTATTCTGGGTATTTTAGTATACTAAGGAAGCTGGACATGTAACCTCTATAGTTAATAATAGACCAAATTCATCCCAGGTGTAATTTCATTGAAGTCAATAGACCTGGCTCTGCACCTGGAATGAATTTGGCCCAATGCTATGAATGCCTCCCTACTCTCGCCAGCCTAGATTTGCATATAAGATATAATACAAAAATGAAATAAAAATAGAAGATGTCCAGGAGGCATAGCATGTTTACAGAGCAGAGTGGTAATAACCTGGCTTGATATATATGTGGCAATGCTTCGCTTAACCAGATGGTATGATTGAGAATGGGGGAGGGTTAACTCTGATGGTGGCTCAGGTTTGCTTGTGTCCCTTCATGTCATTGCCTTTTCTCTTTTTCTCTCTGTTTTTGAAACCTTATAGCCCGGAACCATCCAGTGAAATGAAGCTGCCCCAAACAGACCCATTTATTACTTATTAGTTTTCTGTGATGTGATCACCAGGAGGAAAAAAATGCGAACATATAGTAACGTTTAAACATTAAAACCTGTTCTGATCAGCTGAGGTTATTCCTTAACTGAGAATCCCAAACAGAGTGTATATAAAATCCAGCTTGCATATAAGATCACAAACATTTTATTTTAAAAAAATCAGATTTTGCTAGCAAACTAGATCAAACTGTTTGAAACCTGAGTGTTTTTTATATTATGATGAGCTGCTGCTTCCATTATTCATTCTTTTCTCTGTCCACTAAAGGTTAAATTATAATTACCAAAGGCTCACTCGTGGAGTTAGGATATGAATCAGTGGTATCTTTAGGATCATGATAATGAAGAAAACTGGCTATGGGCTTTTGCTTCTGGGTGGGAGTCACGATCAGAAAGACCGGTGTGCAAATGTAAAGCAAATACCTCCTCCTAAA